GTTGATCAATGGCTCCTAAGCTTGTTTAAATACACCTTGGATCACTTCTGAACATTGGGGATCATTGTTGAAGTCAATAGAGCTATTATTATGTAATTATCATTTAAAAATCTGGTTGGAAAGCGTAGGTGAATCGTTACACTATCAGTGTGCATTGATACACTATGTGTAAAATTCAAATATTTCGACCTTTATAAGACTTAGTGCATCGGTACACTAATTACATTTGATGTTTCAAAAGAGCAAGGAGTGTATCGATGCATGGTTTGTGCATCGGTACATACAATGCATTCGAATTAGGGTGTGCATCGATACACCAAAGAATGCATCGGTACATCCCTTTATAAAATTGATTTTTGTCTCGATTAAGGTTCGAAATACTTTGTACAAATTGTTTCAAAAATATTTTAAGTTTAAAACACAATTTTACACTTCAGTAAGGTTTGAAATTGACCTTTGAAAAACTTGGAGTAATATTTGTGATATTCGAATAATTTAATCGAATATACTTTAAAAATGATTATAAAATCTTAAAATTCAATAACATTTAATTTGTTATATCGAAACATCAAAATGTTTTCAATAGTGAGCAAGCCAAGAAAGTTCAAATTCATCCTAGACTCCTAGAATATTCAGTCTCAAAAGGGTCCAAATTCATCATAGACTCTCTAGAATATTCGATAACTTAAGGAGAAAAAAATAAACAAAGCATTCATCACCATTAAGATGAAGCATTCATCTTCTTTGTGAGAACCTTTCATATTCAACCTATGAACACTATAAATAGACTTCATCCTAACATTTTAAACACACATCTTGATATATAAAATTCCTCTTTGAGAGTTGTTTTCTTTCTAGTTCTTTTGAAGAACTTTATCAGCTTCATGTTTGTCTTGTGGTATTCATTCATTTTATTTGTTTATAGAGTTGGTTCCTAACTCCTTTATAGTTAGAGGGTCACGTTTCATCCCTACCATTTCAATCCATCATTTTATATTATTGGTTCCTACCTCCATATAACTAGTGGGTCATAATCCACCATTCTTCATTCCCTCCACATCCCACTCCATTAACATCCATCACCTTTACCATATTTCCTTTTCATCAAACTACAACTTTCATCACCTTCCATACTATTTCCAAATCACTATAACCATCACATCATCAATCCTTCATCATCATTTACATTCCTATATTTCTTTATCATTTTACAAGTTATAATTTCAGGTTCTAAGCAAGCAAGTTTTACACTTACTAGAATCACAATAGGGCAACATTATATGATTCGATAACATCACAACCTGAGTCATATCAACCATGCTACAATAATTTATATGATTAATAATATAACATGATTATAGGTATGAAAGTATAAACAAAACAAGCATGAATCATCTCACTATACGTCTCATGTTAACAACATAGCATACATTACTATTAATATTAACATCACACAACACAGAAGTAATAGTATCACAAGGTTCGGACCATACAATATCTGATCAATCTAATGTTTGGAATATACAATATCAAGTGTTAAAATGTACACGGTGTCTAGATCACATAGTATCAAACAACATAGTGCTATAACATTCGAATCATACAATATCATATAATCCTCGCACAACTCTTCATACAATGTTAAATGTTAACTCGGTCCACACAACATCATGTAGCACAATTCACAGATATTTGATCACTTATCCTATATCACACATAGTCGGTATTAAACAAGACTAACACGGTCACATCAACAATTATCGAGTAATACGCTAAATTTTTTATAATATTCTTTCATATGAAGTCTTATATTCTCCAACCTGATACTCTATCGTTGAAACATCTTCCACTGTGGCATCATTTGCCGTAGACTCTTCTGTCATGGATTCCTCCTCCATAGACTCCTCCGTCGTGGAGTCTTCAGTTCTATTTTAGTTAAGTATCATATGCTTTGGAGTATTAGCTTTCTAGAGGGTTAAATTTAAGGTTAGATATAAAACTTTACTTGCGAGAAAAGTAATTATGTTTACAAGAAAGTCTATTATAAATAAGCTATAATAGCCAACAAGACTTAGTTTACAACGTGATATATTATTATACGTTGGCTGGATCTCATGATAATGAACCCAATATCTTAAGTTCTCTTTTTTCTTTTAAATTTTTTAAAAAAATAGTTTGTTGTCTATGTTTGAAGTTCGTAATCATTTATACATAAACATTATTTTAACATAAATTAAATGTAATTACAACATTAAAATTGTAAGTTCTTAGCACTCTTTTGATTAACTTGCAATTTCCTTTGAGGACTAAAATACACCAGAAAATGTTGTTTCTCGTCTTTTTTATTACATGAATGCAAATAAACCTTTCACCCTTTCTTTTTTTGTTTTTTTTTTCCTTTATATAACATCGATTAATCTTCTAAGGCTTGCCTTTTATCTTTATCGGCATCATCAATTTCATCATTCATCAAATCCCTTTCTTCCTCAAATCCTTGGTGTTCCATTGATTCATCATTTGGCTGCATAAACTGCAGCTTCAACCTCCCATCTTCCCTGCATGCATGCAACAACTCTTGCGTTGGGGTCCTCACCTATTTCAGCACGAACCTCCCATCTTTCCTGAAAGATTTGAACAAAACCAACGGCTTCCCATTCATCCCTATGCATGAAATCGGTGGCAGAAAGTCTCCGACACTGGTCGATCTTCTCAACTTAATGACCTCCAATTCACCTTGCATATTCCATCTCTTTTCATTCACCATGCCGCTCGCTTCATTTATATTCTCCTTGCAGCTTTGCCACTCTTGTTTCATCTCATTTGTAGTGTCGTATTCCCAAGCGTCGTCACAGCTCTCGGAACCGAGCCCTTCGGTCCACCTCCGAGTGGTTCAATATTGCTGAAGAAAAGGGTGAAATAGGGAAGGAAAGTGATGGTAACTCGAAGTTCTCCTTGAAATGAAGCTCGCCGAAGATTTCGGTTATGGAAGATTGTTCGATCGGTTGAATTTGAGAAGAATGCTTGATTTGTTTCCAGGAAGAGGTCCCAAACAGTGTTGGGGTTTCTGGTAATGAGTGCTCAAAGATGTGCTTCAGGCCTCCAGAGGCAGCCATGGGCTGGCTCTCCACTAATCTCTTTCGAAAGATGATTATTACTCATAGAGAGAGAAGAGAGCTGGGGTGGGGAAGAAGCAAGAAAGAAGGAATTATAAAGAGACTATAAGTTAAAGTCAATTTAGAGTTCTGTAAAAAGAGTTGAAAGATCAATGGGTTCCTCTTCTAGTGGAGCATAATAAGGAAGTTCACACAACATCATGCAACACAATTCACAGATATTTGATCACTTATCCTATATCACACATAGTCGAGTATTAAACAAGACTAACACGGTCACATCAACAATTATCGAGTAATACGCTAAATTTTTTATAATATTCTTTCATATGAAGTCTTATATTCTCCAACCTGATACTCTATCGTTGAAACATCTTCCACTGTGGCATCATTTGCCGTAGACTCTTCTGTCATGGATTCCTCCTCCATAGACTCCTCCGTCGTGGAGTCTTCAGTTCTATTTTAGTTAAATATCATATGCTTTGGAGTATTACTTTCTAGAGGGTTAAATTTAAGGTTAGAAATAAAACTTTACTTGCGAGAAAAGTAATTATGTTTACAAGAAAGTCTATTATAAATAAGCTATAATAGCCAATAAGACTTAGTTTACGACGTGATATATTATTATACGTTGGTTGGATCTCATGATAATGAACCCAATATCTTAAGTTCTCTTTTTTCTTTTATATTTAAAAAAAACAAAAAAAAATAGTTTGTTGTCTATGTTTGAAGTTCATAATCATTTATACATAAACATTATTTTAACATAAATTAAATGTAATTACAACATTAAAATTGTAAGTTCTTAGCACTCTTTTGATTAACTTGCAATTTCCTTTGAGGACTAAAATACACCAGGAAATGTTGTTTCTCGTTTTTTTTATTACATGAATGCAAATAAACCTTTCACCCTTTCTTTTTTTGTTGTTTTTTTCCCTTTATATAACATCGATTAATCTTCTAAGGCTTGCCTTTTATCTTTACCGGCATCATCAAATCCCCTTCTTCCTCAAATCCTTGGTGTTCCATTGATTCATCATTTGGCTGCATAAACTGCAGTTTCAACCTCCCATCTTCCCTGTATGCATGCAACAACTCTTGCGTTGGGGTCCTCACCTGTTTCAGCACGAACCTCTCATCTTTCCTGAAAGATTTGAACAAAACCAACGGCTTCCCATTCTTCCCTATGCATGAAATCGGCGGCAGAAAGTCTCCGACACTGGTCGATCTTCTCAACTTAATAACCTTCAATTCACCTTGCATATTCCATCTCTTTTCATTCACCATGCCGCTCGCTTCATTTATATTCTCCTTGCAGCTTTGCCACTCTTGTTTCATCTCATTTGTAGTGTCGTATTCCCAAGCGTCGTCACATCTCTTGGAATCGGGCCCTTCGGTCCACCTCCGAGTGGTTCAATATTGCTGAAGAAAAGGGTGAAATAGGGAAGGAAGGTGATGGCAACTCGGAGTTCTCCTTGAAATGAAGCTCGCCGAAGATTTCGGTTATGGAAGATTGTTCGATCGATTGAATTTGAGAAGAATGCTTGATTTGTTTCCAGGAAGAGGTCCCAAACAGTGTTGGGGATTTTGGTAATGAGTGCTCAAAGATGTGCTTAAGGCCTCCAGAGGCAGCCATGGGCTGGCTCTCCACTAATCTCTTTCGAAAGATGATTACTACTCATAGAGAGAGAAGAGAGCTGGGGGTGAGGGGTGGGGAAGGAAGCAAGAAAGAAGGAATTATAAAGAGACTATAAGTTAAAGTCAATTTAGAGTTATGTAAAAAGAGTTGAAAGATCAATGGGTTCCTCTTCTAGTGGAGCATAATAAGGATTGGTGGTTTAAGTGCTATGAAATAATTTAGCGGTCATTAAACAAAAGAGATCGTAATCCATGAAAGTAAAACAGAAAATAGATACCGGAATTCATCGAACTCCGGTGGTAATTTCCATGTCCAAGTAGATATGTTAGGGTCACAAGGTTTAAGCAAACCAGTCATCACACTGAAAAGATACAAGAAAAAAATCATGTCAAAGTATCAGTTAGGGTTCAACCGTTGTTGAGTACCCTTCAACGCCATGCTTCAATGCGTTCTATCATTGAATCTATACGGCTCAAGTTGGTTATCCCTTTGGTCTTGTCAGCAGTGTTTGTCATCTTAAGTGTCGATTGCAGACCGATGATTTTGTTGGGCTCCTTGAGACATGAATTACTTGATTGGCCAATATTGTTGGTCTTTCCAACAATCATCAGAGTTGCAGGTTTCAGGTTGTTGGATACAACGGCATCGGTTTCAGTGATGAAAGTTTCAGTCTCATTGGGATGATCTGCATCAGTAATTAGCTTGTCGATGGTGCGCATCAGACTGTGATCTTTGGTATTTGGGATCTCGTTGTTTTGACTATAATTCCTGAAACTTTCGTTTAAAGGCTCTTCAGCGAGAAAGGCCAGCTCTTTCTCTTCACTATCATTTTCAGTATCTTGAATGGAGGAGAGTGAAGGGATTTGATCTCCATTCTCATCGAAAGGCTCCAGATGGAATACGGGAGTTGGATCTACCACCGAATCCTCTCTTTCTCTCAGGGTCCTTATGATGAGCGTCTTGAGGAAGTTCATCACTTGGACTGCATACATCAACGCTGTCAAAGGATCTGCCATCTGCAACCAGAATAAGCCATAGTTTGCCATCTTTAATCGGCACAATATGCTATCAACATTGCGAGAAACGAAAGGCTTTGCTCAAGAAGTACTTATTATGGATAAACCAATGTGGATGTGAACTTAAGGGGAGCATTGTATCTCGTGGTGAAATAAACATGTGAAATATCAAACTCACCTGAGTCATGTTTGGAGCAAAAACCATAGCTATATTACGTGCATTCATCTTGTTTAGATGTTCTTGCTGAACAACGTCAGCCATGAGATTTATGGCCCAATCTAGTAGAGCAGATTCTGTTGGGGCTAGAAGTCTAGCAAGCTCAGCACACTGTTCTTCGGTCTGGCATTGCATTATCTGTTCTGAAGATAAAGAATCCAGAACACCAGTGGGAAGTTCTCTGAACCAAGCCTAACAATAACCCAACATCAAATTAGTATATTCGGGTTCGATAATAAAAGAAGAAGAAGATACAAAGCCGTTTCCCTGCAGACGTACCTGGATAAAATCTACATTTGAGATATTTCTAGAAAACTATTTGCAGTAAGTTCATCTTTTCATTCAACTCCATAATCACATATATCAAATGTAAGTGAAGGAAAGATCAAGTGAGATTAAAATGGCATCGCCATACCTTGATTAGTCCCGCCAAACAATGCACGTCGACCCCTTCTGGAACCACTCCACCATTTAATTGTTCTCTGACATACTCTTCCTGACTGTTTTCAGCATTGATTCTGAAGATCCCTTCTGCCTGCATGTAGTGAAGTCAATATGTTTCGGTCATATATATAAGAGAGAATGTTAAGACGTCTACGTTTCTCTAATTTTTTGACCTATATAGCATATTGAGGAGGGAGAGGATTGAGAAAAGGAAGAAAACCTGCAAGCCTCCTCGAGCATATAAACGCCTTTGCATTAGCAAGAGTATTGTTGGCACACTGTTACCTCTGGAGTCATAGGATAACTGCATCGATTCTGTGGAAACTCCAAAGACAGTTGCACTGCAAAAAAAAAAAACGAAACGACAAACAATGACATAGCTGATCGATAGAGATTGTGCTAGGATGTTAGCTTTCTGCTATCTGTACATGCAATGAAACATCGTACAAGACTACTGATTACATGAAGAAATAGAACTTCTCAGAGGTGATGCTGATACTAAAGGAAATTAAGAAGACTACTTAGTGCAATTGCAGAATTGCCGGTTTCTATAATCAAAATGTTTCAACATTTTCCGTGTATGTATAGGGTGTGCATAGTAAATCCAGCCTATCCTCTTAATTTGTTAGCATTGTCGAAGCGATAAACAAATCATTAGTAGCATTAGCACTCGTCGACAGTAGATACAGAAGAAGTAGAATGAGAACAGATCTCAAACAATCGTTAGCAATTAAGTCTGCGGCAATCTAGAACAGTTAACCATATTAGCTGAAGAAGATGACTGATCTAACAAATTATACCCCTAGTGTTTACCTTCCAATTCCCACCACCAACTCCACATGCTAAGATCTTTCAAAAAAAAAAAAAACTCCACATGGTAAGAAGACAATGAAAAATTGTCTCCTCTAATCTTTTTGCTCGCATCATACGATCAATTCTAAACTTGCATTGCACACCAATGTCTATTCCCTCAAAGATAGCTGCCTCAGTGCAATTTCCCTCACCTGTTGAACGTTTATTTACTTCAATTTTGGCTATTTCCAACAATCTCAATTACTTGAGGATAACACCAAAGAGAAAAGCAAGAGAAATCATGGACTCTTCGATATGACTCACCAGAAAAGTCTGAAGAGCAAACAACTAAGCCAGATAAGCTAATGGCCGGCCAACCATCATAAGTTGGAAAACTAGTAGAGAAAATTTTGTTCCTCTATGGCTTACCTAGTCAATTGACATACCAGATAATGAAGACTTATTACACCGCCAAAAGTAGCCAAAAGTAGAAGGCCACAAACCTATCACTAGTACCGTTAATACTACAAGAACTAGAAGAGTTGAAAACAGAAGCTTCTGATTAGTTAACTTTCAAGAAGAAACTCAAAAAAATCATTCAACTACTCGAAAATCATCCTGAAAGACATTCGAAGTCGAGCCATACCGTACATGTCTACCTAAGGCAGAAGAAAACTTTAAGATCCTCAATCATACATAACTTATTGATATGTATATATAAACACACACACACACAAACCACATCAAAATGATGGAAGTCCCTTTGTACATCAACAATTTCCTCCAACTGAACAATTTGGTCAAATAAAGCAGGCGAATTAAAGCAAAAAGTAGTAAAGAATATTAACTCAGCCTCTAGTATAATTGTGTTTCCTTCCAGAAACATACAATTAGCTATGACATTTCGAAGAGATAAGCCAAAACAACTTTCCAAGGAAACATACAATTAATGCAAAGAATTGAATTCCCCCTCTTTTTTCTGATTAAATCTAGATGGGATTCGACCATTTAATATGGAAATCTAATTTTACAAGAATTATATTGCCTAAACCATCATATGTATATATATCTGTATAAACACACACAACTAGTGGCATTAACCAAATTCATCAATTGAAATTACCAAACAATACCATCATCAGAAAAGAGTCATAAAACCCCATAATGCACCAACAGTTCAAACATTAAAGCTAATGGACCCCAACCATAAACGAAAAGAAAAACAAAACTTGTAACAATTCAAGAATTTTTCTTTTAAGAGTGCCACAAAAAATGGAACATTATGTAAAAGATAAAAAAAGGCAAAACGAGAAACCTTGCACTAGGAGCTCTCCTGGGAACTTCAGGCTCAAACTCTACAGGCAAACCCAAGAAGCCATTGAACCTATCGAAGGTAACATGTGCAACGTGTCGGACATTGGTTGGCGAACCGATCTCCATAGCACAAAGCTCCCTTCTATCAATGTTCTTACAAGCAATCAAAGATTTCCTAAAAAGGGTAACAAGCAAAGCCAACAAAGACAACTGATCCGTGTCTGTTTCTGCGTTTCCTTCACTTCTTCCTCTTCGTCGTCTTCTCCTTCAAGGTCACAGCTTGTTTCATTAACAAAGTCATCTCTTTCATGAGTGCAGGTTAAGGAAGAGGAAGTGTTAGTGCTTTGAGGTGAAGGAAAATGAAGGACCTCAGTCATGGCTGGCAATGACAGCAACGTTTCCTGGAATATTAAAAAAAACAAAAAGAAACTATTTTTATTTCTGAAGAAAACCCAAAAAGAAGATATTTTTCTATTGAAAAAAATCAGATTCAAGAAAGGGAGAGGAGAAGGTGGAGTTAGATTGAAGGAAAAGGGAAGTTTCTCAAAGAATGTGGGACGTGAGGAACATTAACTGAAATCACAAATAAAATATATAGAAAGTGATGCTGTTTTTCCTTCTTTTGGGTGACTTTTTTTTTATAGGATTTATGTAGTTTTATTGGGAGAGTTGAAGAAGCAAAATTGGGTGGGAAATTAAGAGGGAGTAATCAATGGGATTATAAATTATGGCAACTAAAAGTAGACGAGAAAGTAAAATAAAGGAAATGACTCTTTTTTTTTCTGCTAAATGAAGTTAATGGGGCTGTCTGGGTTATCATTACATGGATGGGTAGATTAGCTTTATATGGAGATGCCATTTAGTGCTGATTTATTGGCTTTTTGATGTGGATCAAGCTCATTGACCTCTGATGGTTGGTGGGGATTAAACAAAATTGAAAATTTCTATGGAATTCTTCAAAATTAACCAGATTTTTGCAGGCGAAAAAGTAAACATTGAATTTTCATTTCTTTCATGTAATCAAACTAAATAGTGAAATTGAATATAAATGTATGATTGTTTTTCCTATTAGTATGACGTAATGAGATTTATGAATATCAACTACTGCTATTAATAATAATAATATCATTATTTAAATAATAAATGAACTTCAAATGATTGAATGAAGTTCTGTATATTACAATATAATATGCGTTTATTATGTTTAGAAAAAAGAGAAGGGGTGTGAATTCAAGTGACTTTTTCACATAATGCTTGTTAGTATATGTTGATGATGGTGAATTTACAAATTAGTAAAATGGTATGTGTGTGTATATATATATATATATATGGAAAGAAAATAGGGTTTTTTAATTTAGGGGCTAGTATTTGATCTAATTATTATTTAAAATAATATTATAAAAATAATGTAATTAATATTTTATTTTAAATAATTTAAATTTAGATTTTTAACTAATTTATGATTATACATTGAGTACTTTATAATTTTAAAGTTTTATAAATTAATGGTATTCATCGTTAGTGATGATTATCGGTACTTATCGACGTCGTAAAATCTTCCTATATATATACTCACTTTTATCCACGAGTGGCATAGATTAAAATATTAAAGGAGACTTGATTTTGAGTTTCGAGAGATTAATTTTTTAAATTTTGTAAAAGATAGAATTATTGAAGTAAAATTTAAAATTTTGAGACATAAATATAATGATTTTAAAAATATAGATTTAAATATGTTTAAACAGTTCATTTTTTATATATATTTTTTGTTTATATTGATATAATAATTTGAAAGATATAGATATGAATACGTTTCAACACTTAATTTTATAGAATTAATCAAGTGATTTCAGTGGTAATATAGTATTTTGTTCTTCTTAGATATCTTGAATTCGAGTAATTATGTCTGTATAATGTATGTATTATTAATCAGTTAAAAAATTATAAATAAATACTTCCTTATAACCCTTATTAATAAAAAATGCAGCTATTTTGTTTTGGCTTATATGTGATTTTGGGGTTTGAGAAAGAAGGCCAATTTGCAAGTTCACCAGCACATGCTTTTAACGTGCGTCACGTAAAATAAATACACAATAAGAATAATAAATGTAATTTCGAAATTATTAAATGAATTTAGATTTGAGTTTGTTGAAATTGTGTCATGAAATGATAATCGACACTCTGTCGTTTTGCATATTTTAGATTTTATAAAACCCTTTACTTGTGAACCAAACCGAACCAAATTATAAGCAACTATTACGAGAAATGTATCATTTATTATATATTGATTATAATAATTTTATTATGGGTTTAGTTTGCAATTTGAGAAATTTTTATTGTAATTTGAATATTTTTTTAAATAAAATAGTGATATTTATCTTTTCAAAAAAATTAATTTAAATTCAATAAAACCTCAATATTTAATAAATTCAATGTTTTTTTTTATAGAAAATCGTTATTTTATTACAAATAGAAAATATCCAGAATTACGACGAATATTTACAAACATAAAAGTAAACTACATTATAATTAAGATACATTTTCTTGTAACTATTGACACAAAAACTAGCCAAAGTCCAAAGAAAAAAAGTTAAAAAACCTAATTAAAATGTTTGAATAAAATAAATATACGAATAAATCTGACTACACCGGCAAACGAACTACAAAAGGGGATGAAGCTACTGAAAGATTACCAATAAATCACAAATCAGAGTCAAACGACGTGAGAAAACTATCTATAAAACGCAAAACGCAAAACACGTATCCAAATCAATCCAAATGTCCAAAGAAGGGAATATCAACATGATTAACAAATAAACAACATTTTGATCATTCGTGGCGATGTCAAATCCAATCCTGAGAAAAAAAAGATAAATGAAAATAACAATACTAATTAATAAATTCAATGTTAATTGATAAATTATAGAGATGTCATATATCCATTCAATATTCAACATAATTAACAAATTTGAATGAGTGCACATACCAAGTTATTTCAAATAATTAAAAGGATGGTTATTATCTCTAGAGATCTTGAATTTAAACAAATAATTATATGATATTTAAGCGTTTCTTGTCAAATGTTGAAAATATCTAGAGTAAAATAAGAAAATTTAGGTATTGATATAATGGTTCTTATTATTTTAATATTAACAATACTGAATATATATTATAAGAGGATTATTCAAAAAATATTAAAGATAATTTCTCTAAGTTTGAAGTCACCACCCTGATGAATGAAATTACTATGAGATTTCGTGACTATATTTGAACCGGGCAGATGCAGTAAGCCCTGAGGAGTAAGTGTATATTTGTTTTTTGTTTATTCTAAATATCAAATTTAATTTATTAAGTACACATATATATATATGTGTGTTTTTAATAAAAGAATAGGTAAATTACTTCAAATAATATTCATCTTTAAGTTTGGACTCGTTTATACCGCTAACGTTTTAATTTTGTCAATTTCAGTACTAACGTTTATTTTTAAATGCAGTCATGTCACTCCAGTGTTAATGATCTATTGGACGATGACATGATAGCCATGCGTCGTAATGTTGCTAATGTGATTACCTCACTAAAACGACGCCATTTTGACATAACTGTATTTGAGGCTAAAAAATCCAAAAGGACGTAGTTTTGTTTTGAGAAAATTTAGTACACTTGTGGGGATTTGAACTCAAGACCCTTTGATACAAAAACTATGATTTAACTATTGTGCCAACTTAAATTTTTGGCATAATCTACAAACATAATATACATAATATGAGCCATAAATTTCAAATATTATTTTCTAAAAAACTCATAAAATTATTAAAATTCTAAAAAAAAGCACCTTTAATTCCAAAAAAATCTAAATTCTAAATTCCTAAAAATTTGCATCAATATAATAACGATTTACGAATGGTTGGTTAAATAACTCAACTAATGAAATTTGTTAATTTAAATACTCAATTAGAAGAAAAATAATATAGAGTTTTATTTTTTAATATTTGAAAATAGTTTTTGTACAGTGATATAGGATTTTTGAACTTTTAGAAATTTGGAGTTTTTTTGAGACATTTTAGAATTTAAGACGTATTTTTTAGAATTTTAATTTTAAGATTTTTATAGGTCTTTTGAAAAATAATATTTGAAATACGTAATTTATGTTATGTATATTATGTTTGTAAAATTATATTAAAAATATAAATTGGTATAGTGGCTAAGCCTTGCTCTTTCTAACTAAAGACATTAAGTTCAAATCTCCTTAAATGCACAATTTTAATTAAAAGTAAGTGATATTTAAAGTAGTTTACCCTAAAAGAATATTAAAATTTTTAATTTATGGATCTGCTATAACCCGTCCGATGAATATGGCATCCAAATAAAACATTGTCCCTGGCATAGTTCTATATGAATTCTGCTGACTGACTTTTCAGCTGCTCTTCACACTATCGTTTGTTTCATCTTCTTCACCATCCGTACAAAAATATGAGCTTTACAAAGAGAAAATGTGACCGTTCTTCTTCCTCGCAGGTAAGTCATGTTTATGTAGTTTTCCTTAAAAGAAAGTTGGTATCTTTTTTCTCATATACGTAGCGTTATCTCTGATATTTTATTTTCCCTGTTTCTCTGATTTCTGATATCCCACTTTCTTTGTAAAAATTCGAGCTTTACAATAGAAAAACTTTGGCTTTTTATTCTTTATTTCTTAAAGGTAAAGGATGCTCACATGGATGTCCAAAGTTGTTTCTTTTTCTTTGTTTGATTCGCCTTAGAATGTTATTGTTCCCTACTTATTTCTTGTAGTTCACTCTTTGATTTAAGTTTCATTGATTGATGCTCAAGCTTTTTATTCTGCGTTTCATTTGCCTGTTTGTAAGAATGCTCTAGAGAAGTGTGAATGTATTGTGGAATGGATTTGTGTTTTAGGAAATGGGTAATTTAGGGGAGCTAAACGGTGACATTCCTTTTGATGTGCTGTCTCGGTTGCCGACCAAGTACATGCCACGATTAAAGTGTGTTTGTAAAGGGTGGAACCGCCTTATCTCGGACACCTTTTTTATGAAAGTTCAATCCCAGAAGGGAGAAGCCGTACTATCAGGCTTCTTCTTCCAGCAAAGATATAGATGGAGCTACGAGGAAATCTCCGCTGTAACCTACATTCCTGTTAAAAAGCAAGATGCTGATGAAGCTGAGCTCTTTCAGACAGTGTTGGACTTCCTTCCTGAACATGTTGTGGTGCTGTCTTCTTGCAACGGTTTGGTCTGCTGTCGCAGTTGCTTCCCTAGAGTAGACCCTTGTTTCTACATCTGCAACCCCTTGAACCATGAATGGATGAGGCTAAAATGGGACGAACCTAATAAAGAAGACAACTTTGCTTTGGCATTTGATCCATGTAAAGATACCCTAGGCACATCAATCAAGTTCAAACTTATCAAAGTGAAACAAATCGAAACTGAAGAGGGTGTTCATGCTTCTCGTTCGATATATATGCTTCGGATACAAGGGCCTGGAAGAAATCGGTCGAAATCTGCAAATGCAACAATAACCTGTACAAGAACAGTGGGGTGTATGTGGAAGGGGTTTCCCACTGGCTGACTGATGGTGATGAAGTTCTTACCTTCCATGTGGAGATTGACCTTTCATGGTTGGTATCTGTTC